CAAACCACCGTAGAACAAATACCACAAATTTCATATTACACTTGTATCCGTATACTCAATAACAAATTCATTATAAGCTGCAAAACTTCTACAGCAAACTGTCAATGTTGTCGTCCCCCACCCTCCCCGACAGCTAAACTGTGTTCAATACATCTGTCATACATTGCGTTATTGACCTGTTTACGAGTCAATCCTGTTTGACATCATTCGATCTCGTTTTCCCCAAGAGAGGCGTAGTTTCCCGCCTTGGCTTCGGCACTGTAGTAAACCGGAGGAACGTCTACTTTCCGCCTCAACCGAACCAGAATCATGATGGCGAGCAGCAGAGAGGAAAACTGGGAAAAGAAAATGACCAAAAAAAATGTTTCATCACCTTATGCAACTAGAAATGTTGAAAGTAAGAGTGGAAGAACAGTTGGTGAATAACATATTTTTGTTATCGTCAGACTGAAATAATAAAATACATTCTCCATTTTGTTCTCTTTGTTCGTTACTTTTTGTTGCAACTTTTGGTTGCATGTGTCTTTTAATGTGAGCCCCAGTCAAAAATCGCTTTCTGTCAGTCACTGTTGATGGACAACAGTTTTCTAATTAAAAATAGCATAATCTAAATGTAAAAAAAAACTGTAGTAGCCTACAGACAAAAAAGACAGAGGGAGGCACAAACAGATGAATAACCAATTTAAACAACAAATGAATCAACAAATGGATGCATTTCATTTTGGGGTCTGTGGTGTGCTTCAAACAACAGCCCTCCTTTTGGTTTGGGTCATAAACTGGCCATGGGATTAGAGAGCAAAAGGTTATCAGGTCAAATGTGTTGTAGCTATTTGTTCTCCTGTCAACAGGGTCCCCCTAGTGGCCTTTTGGTATACTTCATTAAAAAAATAAAGACATTTTGTTCCACACTGAATTGCCCAGATGCTCTTTTTCAACCGCGTTGTTCAAATGTATTATTATCGTTGATGTTATTGTCAATGTCAATACAAAAAGTGGTACAGCTGTAAATGTAAGGTAAATGTACTGCTGATGGGTACAGGAGTAGAATCACAGTTTTCATGGGGCTGTTTATTCCCTTATTCTGTACCTGCTCTGCCTTTTTGTCTCCCAACTGTCTTGCTTGTTGTCACGTTTTCCCTTTTAGGGACAAATAAAGCTGTATTGTCGTATTGTCTATCTCGTCTTATTGGTCCAAATTTCAGCTGGGTGACTGTGATTCTGAAAATATGTGAAACGAGTGCCAAACTGTATTGACCCCATGTTGCGCAACAAGCGTCAACACAGTTTAGCAATTATATATTGGAAGAAGGGAAAAGGTTCCCAGAACTCACGCTTCGGTACGATGCGGTATGGTGGTGTCATGGTTCGGCACGGTTTCGATAAATTGACAAAATGAATGCCTGAACCTTTTTCAGGTGTATTTAGGGTTTATATTTATTATTACAGTTAACATCATGGATAGCTTCGTTAGTCAAGTTCCTGCTTTATAACATCAAATATATAATAGTCTTTTTTTTTCATTCACAGCTTCAACAAAGGAATACATAGTTCAGCAGCATATGGCAAAATTCAGTCACACAGCAGTGCCTTAAACAAAATAGGACCACTTTTTTAAAGATGAGTCTATCAACATGAAATCAAAGTGTGACTGGGCTTTGTATCTCCCAGGCTGCTGTAATGAACCATTACAGTAAGTGTAGCTCTAGGCGTCCAACTGGCTGTAGTTGGCGCAAGAGAAGGCTTTTCTGACCACTCCATGTCCATGTGTTCTTTCGTTTTGTTGTATAAGGCTGGTATAACTGTCTGGGCAAAATGTGTGCGGGGAGTAATAGTGTATCGCTGGTCAAGCATTTTAAACATATTTGTTAACCCCATAGAGAGAGAGACTTATAATGGACCAGGGAAGTACTTACCCAGAATATCTCGACAGTTGCTAAAATTGCTATGAATACTTGTAGAACATCCCCAATGTAGTCAATCAGGACTGGAAGACATGGCTGAAACATAAGGAGAAATAAAAGAGTGATTTTCACTTTTCAACATACATGATATTTAATCATATGCACATGATGTAAGAGATGGATATAGTATTTTGTAATACATGCTACATGTATGGCCAGTCTCATTAAAGCATATATCATCTTAATAGATTATATAATCAAAAACAATATAAAAATAAACACATTATATTCAATAAACTCATACGGTAATGTGTATTGGCATTGACATAAATATGAATAGGAATAAATAAGTTATTATTACCGGTTTATAAATCATAATAGTCTGGCTTGTATTGTTCTCATACAGACCGTTGTTGAATGGGGCTGCAATCTGGATAATACAAAGATCATTGATGGATTATTAATCCATTTAATTAATATTCATTAATTAAATGAATGAAACAGATACAATTGCTTTTGGAGGAAAATAACATTATGTATATATTCATATGTGTTACTGTCTGTCGGTAGTACTTTAAAATAACTGCAACTTCGAAGCATTAATAAAGTAGTAGTAAATAGTGAATTCATAAAGAATTCAGCATTTATAAAGCATTGTTCCTACATGAATACTCATTAGTAAGCAATTTATAATCAGTTATAAACGATTAATAAGATAATTAGATAATGGTTTATAAGATCATTTATAAAGTGTAAGTTTTAACACTTATAACATTAGTTAAGTGAGCTCATCTAAAGTGAGGACTATATGCCTTACTACTTATTACTACTTATTACTTGGTACTGCTGCAATTCCAGCCTTAACATGTCATTTATAAATGCTAAGTAAGGCGTAGCTAGTCCTCACTTTAGATAAGCTCACAAAAGCCTTAACTAAGGCTATCTAACTACCTAAACTAATCCTGAATTGCAGCATTATTAAGTGTTTATAAAGCATGATTAACACATTGTAAATAGTTTGCAAATCATTAACTTGCGCTTCATAAATTATATTATAAACCATTATCTAATGATTGTATTAATAATTTATGAACAAGCTTAACTATGAACAGCTTATGAATAGATTGGGAACATTTTACTAATGAGTATTCATGTATGAACAATGCTTCTAAATCCTTGAATAACAATCAATCCATCGGGAAGACTTGTTTTGTTATGTTCAGCTCTTATAATGTAAGTTATTATAGAAACTCACACATTCAGTCACGTCCTCAGTGCAGATACACGTCTTATGGATGTGGGAGCCCCAGTCCTGATAGCCCTTCTCCACACCGCAACACCTCAGCTAGAGAGGTTGAACACACACACGCACACAGACACACACACACACATGATGACATACAAATACAGCACATTGTGCTGTTTAAAATGGAACATTTAAAATCAGTGCGGAAGAAGGGAATCGATCGACACAAAACACACATACACACACACACACACACACACACCATCAGAAACACACTTACACACACACCTGTCCTCACAAACATGCACACCCAACACACACAATCTCACGCACGCAAGACACGCCCGCTCAAATTTGCATCTACACACTGACCCTCCCCAACACACACACACCCTCACAATCACACACACACACATACACTCTCAAAAAACACATCCACACAAACATGCACACCGTCACACACACACACACACACACACACACACACACACACACACATACATACATACATACATACATACATACATACATACATACATACATACACACATCTCTCTGCATCTGGATGTCGCAACTGTTTTACAATCACGTTTTGATGAGATTCAAAATGCTTAAATAAACATGGCCACTTGCACACCCTGACAAACACACACACACACACAGATGAAGCAGATAGAAAGAGAAGGACAGTGAGCCCTTCTCTTTCTAAGGGGACCTACGACGTGTTGTATCTCATGGAGAACTTCTAGATCGGTGCCGTTGGTTGTATCCAGCGGAGTGAGCCAGTTTAGAAGATGCTGCTGTTTCACAAATTCCAGTAGCTGCAGACGAACAGGTGAATTGTGGGTAATTATGACACACAATGCACATTTAGTTTCTGATTAATTTGCATATGACACCTGCCCCTTGCACGTGACATAAATAGCTCTACTTACATTGTAAACAGAGACAACTTCCAATACTGACAACAAAAAAAATGTTTTACCTGCTTTCTAAATATAAGTATTGCCACGAAGATGATAGCCACAAACAGGATGATCAGGCTCTTTCCTACTGAGAACTAGAGAGAGAGAGAGAGAGAGAGAGAGAAAAAAAAAGCAGATTGCATATCAATTGCAACAATTTTGGAAAGCAAGCTCCAACAACTGCACTCCTCTTCCTCCTCCTCCTCTCTGTAGACCTGGAATGTAAACAATGATTTGATGCCCCACCGTGACACACGGTACGGTAAATGAATATCTCTTGACATTGTCAAATATTGCTCACTGTGCGGTAACTGTAGGGTGCAGCTGTTGTTTTTCTGCCAGTGGCTGGCTTATCAGGGAACGGTTGTATTGGTCAGTGTCAAGTGTGGTCATCAAGTGTGGTTTGGCTCACTGAAGCAGACCCTAAATCAGTTCAGTTGAGTTCACTCTGAGAGCTGTAAACTGTAACTGTAAACTGGTTGGACATTTTTCATCCAAAGACAACACCGTTGCTGTGTTCGATTTGGCTCACTTATCTTTGCCCTATATAGTGCGCTATAGTCGATTTGCCCTATAGTGTGATATTTAGTGTGATATTTCATCTCTATTGGTTGTCATCGGATTCAACCAATAGAGACGGTCAGCACATGTGTTATTAATGCAGATAAGCTGTCACAGCTCATTTTCATAAATCACTGTGACATCTAACACGCCGGGCTTGTTGCTATGACGATACGCAGCCGATACATTTCCGGTGCATAAATAGTGTCCGGATTCCCCCCTATACTTGTTCCCTAAACGGTGTAGTGTTCACTACACAGGGAATAGGGAATGAGGGCACAAGTATGCGACGAACACAGCCGTGAGTGCACATTTCTTAACATGGGGTGGCCCCAGAGGGACTCGAACCCCTAACCCTGTCAGTGTTAACGCCATGCTCTACCAAACTGATCCATGCATAACTCTCTCTCTCTCTCTCTCTCTCTCAACTCTCTCTCCAATTTCTTTCACTTATACTCTTGTACTTTATAACACCCGTGTACTCACGATGATCAGCGGCAGTGTCTTGTCTTTGGCGGCTCCGTACACGCCGATGGTGTTGAGGAGGAGCGTAGCCGTGGCAAGGGCGTACATCACCTTGATCAGCACAATCAAGCCTTCAACCTGGAGAGAGAAAGAGAGACACCGAGAGAGAGAGAGAGAGAGAGAGAGAGAGAGAGAGAGAGAGAGAGAGAGAGAGAGAGAGAGGGAGAGGAGGAGAGGGAGGGAGGGAGGGAGGGAGGGAGGGAGGGAGAGCGGGATGTGTCATTATGTAATTATGTATCAATCACTTCGTTAGACAAGCTCCTGAAACCCGGTGCTGAATTGGCCCCATGTGGGTGTGGCTAGACATTAAGTTATCCAGCGGTAGGCTTAGAAATACAATGCTGTTATGGATAGATTATAGATGTGATTATATGAATAATAAAGTAGTCATTATATGAATAACATACACAATCAAAGAATGACAACTTCATCCTTTGGGTCACAGGCAGAAAGACAGTGAAATCGACAGACATATAACAGACAAACAGATGGGCAGACAGAAAGACAGGCAGACAAAGACAGACAGACAGACAGGCAGACACTGTGGCCTACATACATCATCGGCTGAATGGTAGTATCCATGTCCAAACAAAGTAAATCCTAAAGTCAGGGCACTGACGACCTGCAACAAAAACAATTGTTGACAGTGAGTTCAACCACAATGTAAAGTCCGCAAATGATCTTGAGTATGAGTAATGAAATCGATATTTAGTGATAGGTTGATGATTAAACGTTCATTGATCACAGTTCAACGACCTCTGGTGTGTGTGTGTGTGGGGGGGGGGGGTCTCCAGTGTCAGTGCTAGAACAAATATCCAGGGGGGGCAAGAGGCTTTAGCAGGGGGGCACCAAATTAATCACAAGTGGGCGTGGCAACGTAGTTGTGCATAGTAAAAGTGCAACCATTCGGTGGTATGCTCCCTAGGAGAACATTTTAAGAAAAAATCACAATAGGGCATTCTCCTCGCTTTCCTAACAATCTGAGAACTCACTTAGGTGTAAATAAATGCAAGGACACCCACGTTTTGCATTAACCGAAATGTTTTACTCAAAACACACATAAGGTAACACATAGCGAGGTCACAACAAATTGACAACACAAACAACACGTATTACCATTACCATTAAAAGAAATGTATTCCGCAACTGGAGGTGCTGAACTTGAGGTAACGCATAACGAGGTCACAGCAAATTGACAACACAAACAAAATGTATCACCATTACAATTAGAACAGCTGTAGTCTGCGACTGGATTTGCTGAACTTGCGCAGCACAAGGTCCTCCCATTCGTCTCTCAGCTTCCTCGTTAGGTCTCGTTCAAAAGCCTGCAGTACGAGCTGAGCCTTGCGAGAGTGCGTAATTTTCCGTCTGTGGTCAGTAAAAACATTCTTAAGAACTGAGAACGACTTCTCACACATGGTGATGGAGGCACCTAATGTCAGCAACAGTTTGTCGGCAAGCAAAACAGGTTGGCATGGCCTGAAGTACTCCATGTGAGAGGAGTCTTGACACAGCCATCTCTTCTTATCATCATCCTTTTTCACTCTAGCGAAGTATTGCTTTGCCACGATGCACTCCGTCTCCACAATGGTGGATTTTGTCAGCTCCATAAGGGGTTGCACTGCTTTCACATCCAAGAAAGTGTCACTCTCTGGGTCAAGAGCGACAAGTGCAGCTGCCAACTTGGAGTTGCGTTCACTGAAGCGCCTTTCAACAAGAACGTGGTCCCAACACACTGAAATACAGCCTGCGCAACTCGACCTTATCCATTCTGTTGCCTCCAGTTGTTTCCTCAACCACATACTCAGCCAGCAGCTTATTTTCCTGTTGACTACGTTTTGCTGGGACAGCAGGCACAGTAGGGTACAGTCTTCTTCAGTTCAGAGATTTCAGTTCCCTCTCTCTCTTGCAGCAGTCGCTAAACTCCTCCCTGCTTGCCTGACATCACTGCGGCTCCATCATAGACCTGACTAAGGATCTTGGATGTAGTCAGGCCTGCATTGGTAAGCTCAGAACAGACAATGGTGAGTGTTTGAGCATCACTCGAGCATCATTAACCGAGTCACTAGTGGTCAAACGAGCAGTCGCTTTGTTATTGCCAGCGTGTCTTCATTGAAGAAGTGAATAGAAACATGCTCCGTTCCAGTAGGATCTCTGGCTCTGTAAGCTTTAAGAGTATACCACGAAACTCCGATCTCCTTCACAATCCCCTTCATGACAATGTTGCTCATGACAGAAATGAGTTCATTTTGGATCTCATGGCTTGTGTAGTTGACATTTTTTGGGAATAGTTTTGACTATTTCCGCAAGCTGGGGGTCCTTCCTGATTAGGGATGGGAATTGATAAGATTTTTACGATTCCGATTCCATTTTGGATTCTGCTTAACGATTCTGAGCATTCAGTGTCAGCCAGTGACAAATACAATCAAGTCAAATCCAATGGAACTGTGCATTGTGCAAATCTGCAACCATCAACTATGAAGAATTAACAATTATTTTGCAGAAAAATAAGCATGTCTGCTTTTTCAGGAAGTATACGCCATCTTTCTGGATTCAGTGACGTTAGTCCCGAGCGGATCGAAAACGCGACATGTTTTTGCATGTTGGAAGTATTTCCTCCCATTGAGGAAATATTCACGTTGCAAGTTGCCCTGTTGTCGTCTTTTCTTGTGAAGTGTAACCAAACTTTTGAGCGTTTGTACCGCTTGGGCGCCATGTTTACTGTTGACTGCTGGCTGCACTGGAATCGATTGCAAAATTGGCTAACGATTCCAAGGAACTGAAACACTGGGAAGCAGTTCTCAACAAGAACCGGTTTTCGATTCCTATCCCTATTCCTGATGTTAAAATCCAGCAAAGACATGAACAGTCCATCTTCCATATTATCAAATGCCTCAACTTTACCCCTCAATGGCAACTGATTGGCAACCGGGAACTCCACGACGTCAACGAGAGAGGAAACTTTTTTTAGTTGCTTTAGCTGCAGAGATTTCTTTACCCTTTTCGGACCGGCTTTCTCTTTCTCTCCACATAGTGTTACACGCCAGGTGTCCCTTTGATACGGCGTGCCCGCGAAACCCTTCATTAATTTCCGTGGCGTGTTTCCACTGCATTGAAAACAGGTCCCCTGACCCACATGAGCAGTTCGGCTGCTAAACTTGCGGCGTAGCGGTGGTAGCAGAAAGCCGCATCTGCTTTCACAAGGTACTCCAGCCGGTCCCTCCTCTGGTACCAGGCAGCAAGAAAACCTCTCTTCCTACTCCCAAAAGCTCACGGTTCAAGGGTTGGCCCGCTAACTTACGGCCGTCGAGCTGGTCGACCGCTTTTCTCAAAGCCATGGCTGTGATTAAAAACGTTCAGCTACCTATAAGCTAACTTAAACTATCCAAACTTTTAGTTTTGCAAAACTTCCCGCCTCAACTTCAAACGTTAAAACGTCAAGCGAGGACGAAGCACGTGAAGTGGGGAGGCGCTGCCCCCAGCCGCCCCCTCGCGGAGCAGACACTGCGGGGGTCTCCAACGATGTACTTCGTATTTATGTACTTTTTTAGCTGTTTTTGCTGTTTGTGTTTGTGTTGTGTTGACAGTGTCGACACAACAGTGACCCCCCCCCCCCAGGTCCTATCATAAGCAGGCTGTAATATGAAGCCACTGTGCTCCCAGATCAACAAGCCCCGACAAGCGACGCCAAGCGAGGCGCGGCGAAGCGCACGCGCACACGCACAGGCGACCCATGTTTTTTTTAATTTTATTATTATTATTATTATTATTGTTAACTATTATTACTTTTTTTCTAACAGTAAGTAAGTAAAATACGCAAGACTTACCCCAATCAGACATGTCAAGATTATGAAGGACCGTTTCAGACATGCGTTCACTTTACTCATGTTTAAAAGTCGCTGGTCCTTCACTATGCTGGCGACACAGCCGATAGAAAACACAGATGGAAAGAGGAGGCGAGGCGGTCGCAGGCTGTTTTTTTTGTTTCTGTTTTAAGCCCTAATATGCTTATAGGCCCACCCTATGACCGACGTGAGAGAGGGAGGGTCCACAGTGTGTGTGTGTGTGTGTGTGTGTAAGGGAGGGAGGGAGAGAGAGAGGGAGAGAGGGAAAGTGAGAGGGGGGAGAGAGGGGGGGAGGGTGTGTGTATGTGTGTAAGGGGGGAGGGAGAGAGAGAGGGAGAGAGTAGAGAGAGAGTAGGGAGAGAGAGAGAGAGAGAGAGAGAGAGAGATAGTGTGTGTGTGTGTGTAAGGGGGGGAGGGAGAAAGAGAGAGAGACAGAGAGGGGGAGAGAAAGAGAGAGAGAGAGAGAGAGAGAGAGAGAGAGAGAGAGAGTGAGAGTGCAGAATAGTTCAGAGTGAAAGCTAAGTGCTTGACGATGAAGGAAAGAGAGCTGGGGAGGATATTACATCACTATGTGAAGAACTCTGGAAATCACACTGGGTTTTATTCAAGCAAGGGGAGATTGGGACCGTCCCACGTTTGGTACGTCTTGTACATATTTCAGATCTGCCAGATTTGACATCAGAGAAGCAGCCATTGAACATTACATGCAAGCATTAAGTCTTTGTGTAGCATATTGTGTATATCTTCTTGTTCAATTAAAAAAATATTTTCCACTTTTTTGAAGCCAGGCAAAAGCAATCCAGAGGACAAACAACACATGTACGGACTAACTGTCGATGAACGTCTTATCTCAACACAAAGTCTGTGGTTCAGTTTTTGATAGTAAAACCTTCATGGTCGGATATGAAAAATGACTTCATTGCACACTTTTCTGGGCAGCAAAAAAAATTAGGCATGAGGCCAAGTGTAATAGAAGTGTTACACTTTTTTTAAAAACAAAGCTGACAAAGGATCAAATGACACTGA